TAAAGTAGAAAAAATAAATTAATAAATAATGTATATAATTAGATTTACTTACTTATTTTGTCAGAATATAAGGAGAAATGATCAGTACACAATCACAGTAGATTTAACATGTTTCTCTTAGAAATGGATAGAAATCATTGTAACAAGTAGTAAATAAGCTGTAGAGAGCTAATGCACAGTATAATTAATATAGAAAACAGCAGTGTACTCTAATTATGTAATGTGGTAAATACTGCTGCACTGGCATTCACGTTACTATAAACGTTGTAGTCAAGCAACACACTGTCTACCTTAAACTTACACAACGTTACACATCAAATTTATTCAATTAAAAACAAATAAATAAAAATTTAAAACGAAACCAAAAAATCAAGTAAGTCCTAAACGTTAGTCATTTCATCCATAAATAATTCAAAATACACCTCTGGGATAAAGTCACATTTTTAACAGAACCGGAATTGCATGGTCACACCTGAAATGAGTAGCAGTATTATTTGTTTGTCAAAGAATAACATCTTTATTATAGTGATTCTTTGAGATTCATGCAAATGTGCTTTATAGCCCAAAATTTGGTTAATTTATTATGTGTGTGCTTGAGAAGAAATAATCTCATTTTTTGATGCAGAGTTCCATATATGTCAATTAAATCAAATTTATTTGGATTTTCTATATAGTAAGTGACATTTTGTCTCTTTGGCCTGTCAGTAATTGACAGAGACATGTGGGGATCTCAGGGCAAGAGTAAATTTTTTAATTTCTCTCTATAATGCTATCAATTTTTGCTTTATGTATTCAATATTATTAAATGCATGGAAATTCAAAATCATTTCATCATGCTGGAATTAATTAAGCCTTTTATTATGGTTTCAAGACCTTCTTTATCTCTTAAAGTCTCTTATTTTCAGTTACAACATAGATTCCCAAGTTTATTTTGGTTAGTGTTTTCCTGTCATATATCTTTTTCATCCTTTGATTTTCAAACTTTCCAGCTCTCGTGTTTAAATTAGTTTCTTCAAACAAGTGTATGTCTGGACTTGAGTTTGTGTCAGTCTGAAAATCTCTACTTTTTAATTGGTGTGTTAATTCCATTTACATTTTTCAGAATTTTTCATAAATTAGGACTTGATTCCACCATGTTAACAGCATGTACTTTATATTTGTTTTCTCCTTTCTTTTCCTTTTGTGTGTGGGGGAAGGTGATTCAATTAGAGTTGTTGTTTTGTTTTGTTCATTCAATTCCCCCTCTATTGGTTTGAAAGTTACATGCTTTTTTTAAAAAATAATCCTTTAGCACGACATTGTAAAATTATTACAAATCAATAAAAAATGTTTAAAAAAATAATAATCCTTTAGTGTTTACTTTTGAAATTTTACTATGCTTACTTAAAATCTAAGGTTAACCTATAGTTTAATCCCCTTTCTGAAAAATTCAACAACCTTAAAATACTGTTACTTAGATCAAACTTTGCTGGTTTATATGCTATCATTGGTCAATATTTTAGTTACTGACTTTAAAAGGAAAAGACATTACTAATACAGCTTTATGCTGCCAATATTTATTTAGATTACCCCTATGTTATCAGTTCCTTTGATTACGGTCCCTTCTTGCATCTCAGATCCTCCCGAGATTTTTTTTGCTCCTTCCTGAGATACCTCCTTTAGAGTTGAAGGTCTATCGGAGATAAACTTCTGCAGGCTTAATTTCAACCTCATTCTTGAAAGATAGGTTACTTACAATTCTAGATTAATAGCTGTTTTCTGACAGCATCTTGAAGCTATTTTCCAGTATATTGTGACTTCCATTGCTGATTTTGAGAAGTGTGCTCTCAGTGTTATTGCCATTCAATAGAGTCAGTAACCTCTTTCTTTCCTGACCGCTTCTAAAATCTTCTCTCTGACGTGACAATGTTTCTAAAATGTGGCTGTTTATACAAATAATCTGGGTTGCTGGTTGAAAAATCCTGGTAGATTCTCAGGTCTGTATCCTAGAGATTCTATGCTATACTGGATTCACAATAATTCACATCTATCTTTCAGTTCACTAATTATCTCTTCAGCTCTATTGAATCTGCTGTTTGGCTTGTCCTCTGAAATATTACATCCAACAACTATGTTATTTCATTTACAAAAATTATACTTCGTTCTTTATCAAATCTACCTGGTCAGGTTTTCTAGTCTTGATTCCTTGCTCATTGTTAATTTCCTCTATTATCTTTCTAGTGTTGCATGCATAGATATTTCACATTTAATAATTTCCATATTTGAAGACCCTGGGAGTAGAAATCTGTTGTTTATTTTCTCCTGGCTGTCATATCTTCCAGGATAATGAGATCAATAGTGAGTCTTCAAAGGAGTTTTTAGAAAGAACTTTGGCCTCTCTCCCTACTTTTTGGTCCGTTGCAACTCTCCACAGAGTGCTTCTGCCTTTCACCACAGCATTTTCTGACTTCTCAGTGTACTACTCCCTTCCACCTTCACTGAGCCATAGAACCATTTTTGGGGCTATGGTTGCTTTGGGTGGTCTGTCCTTCCATGGTGACACAATTTTGGAAGAATCTATCATCACTGGTAAAGCATGTGCATTCAAGTTTACAGCTATTCTGCACCAGCTCACAAGAGGGCGGTGCTCTATTTTGAATAACTCCCCTGAGTGACTGATGGGAGGAATTTGAATTAAAGCCAGGTAATAACTTTTTTTTCCGGTTGGTTGAATAGCCAAATTGCTATCTCGCTTTCATGGGGTGTGTGTGTGTGTGTGTGTGTGCCCGCACGTGTGTGCTGGGGAAAGAGGGTGTCGGTTCAAAAAAGAAAAGGAGAAGCTCAGGGCAGTGAATCACTTTTTGCCCAGGAAAGCCAACCCGGGAAGTGAAGGATGGAGAAGTGGCCACAAGCTTCACTACTCATCTTTTGGCTTCAACTGAGCTGTGAGTAGCATTACTACAAAGGGTGAGGGACAACCCGGAAAACCTGAGGATTAATCTTCAGAAAACCAAGGGTGAAAAAGTGGAATTCATTCTGACTTATCTGGGGGCACTTGTGGTTTTAATGGAGAATAATTATGATCTCTGAGAATATCTGATCTGACATCACTTGTTCTCTGGCTGACTTGTTGCTTTTTTCTAAACAGGGGTGAGCAGTGATGACAAGGTGATACAGAGCCCCCCATCTCTGGTTGTCCATGAGGGAACCAGTGCAACTCTCAACTGCAGCTACAAAGTGACTAACTTCCAAAGCCTGAATTGGTATAAGCAGGAAGAAAAAGGTCTCGCATTTCTGTTTGTGCTAATTTCAACTGGGACTGAGAAGAAGTCAGGAAGATTCAAAGGCACATTAGACAAGAAAGAACTTCTCGGGACTCTGCACATCACAGCCACCGAGCCCGAAGACTCAGCCACCTACCTCTGTGCAGTGGAAGCACTGTGCTCACTAGTCACCTGCAGCCTGTACCCAAATGCTGCAGCTGAGGCTCCTGCAACTGTTAGATGGGTTACTTGCTAAACTGGGCATGCTCTCAAAAACAAGCTGTAAGAAAAAGCAACTATTGCTCAAGATCCCCGTGTCCATGTTGACGATTACTTCTGCAGCTTACTGAGTCCCAACTCAGACTGAGTCACATCACTGCATTCACTGCCTTCTCTGCGCTTTTCTATGGGAGTCAGCATCACTGACATTTTCAGAGGCTCACTCATAATACCAACTCCATCACCACACTATTATGCCCTGTGGTAGAAATAAAGCCCTTTTACCAAGATTGCACCAGCACCTAGTATGTGCACCACCCATCATGGTCTCTACCTGACAGCATGGATGGATGAACAGTTTGCTTTACTTTTGGTTTTCTGTTTCCGCTTAAATAGACACATTTATAGGTAGAGTTCCATCTGCAACTTTTTTTGCTGGGCCTATTAGCAAAGAACAAAAAATGGGAAGCAGGAAGCATCATTGCTTGAGTCAAACAAAAGTTTTTCTTCCCCGTTTGCAGGAGTCTTCCTTACTCCCTTGATTTGGGGGTTGTTCCGTATACTAGGTGCTTCATGAAAGTGACGTGGTAGAATCTTCTCAAGATGTTACACATTAATTTGAACTCTTAGTACCTTAAGCAGTCTCCCAAAAGAAAGGAGTTAGCCAAACTAAGCTATGCAAAACTAACATAAACTTAGCTTAGTTACGTTATGGTGTATTCTTTCAATGAAATATTATATAATCATCTATATTGTATTTAGAAAGAGTTTGCAATGGAAACAACTGTTTATTGAGAGTAAATGCTACATGCCTTGAACTTTGCAGATGTTATTTCATTGAATTTTCACAGTAACTCTGATGGCTCATTGTTCCTACGCTCAGTGAACAGATCAGGGGATGCAAATTCAGAAAGATTAAGGTCTCCTCCCAGAAAATAACAAATAGAGTTTGAAATCAAGTCTATCCAATTCCAAAGGCTATGCTTTCTCCATTATATGTCCCATGTTAAATATCACAGAGAAACAAATGTCTGCACAATATGACCACAATTACATATCAGAAAATTACACAAAACCCCAGAATAACACATTTGACGTATGGATAAAATAACATGTTATTAATAACATGTGAATAAAATAACACAGTGTTGGTTGTCCTTGAGTACTGGGCTTAACACTATTTATTATTTTTCTGCTTTATAACATTCTTTGTTTTTTTAAACTACCTGCTAGGGGCTTAATAGCAAGCATTTTTTCAGAAATAGAAAAAAAAAGACAATAT